GCAGCTCTATACTCGGATCTGCCGGGCGAGTGTGCAACCAGCGCTGGGCACCTCGCGCGCCTCGCCGAAGATAGCCACCGCTTGGCCTCTGCAGGGATGTGAGACGCTCCCTGTGCCAGTCCCCTCCTCTTCCGAGAAGGCCCGCCCCTTCTCGCTTCCCTCCAGGCTCGCCGCCGATCCACATGATGGGCCGATCTTCCACCACCACTACAAGTACCATGCGTAGGAGAGGGAGGAGGAGGAGGAGGAGGAGGAGGAGGAGGAGGAGGAGGAGGAGGAGGAGGAGGAGGAGGAGGAGGAGGAGGAGGAGGAGGAGGAGGAGGAGGAGGAGGAGGAGGAGGAGGAGGAGGAGGCGGCGGAGGCGGAGGCGGAGGAGGAGGAGGCGGAGAATGAGGAGAGGAGGAGGACCTCCTCATCCCGCCCTCTCCCCCTGTCCTACATCTGGTAGTGGTGGTGGAAAATGGGCCCATCACCACCAGCGCTTGTTGGGGATCCCAAAACCACGCGGTGACAGACCGTGCGGGGACCTCGGAACCCCGAGGGACCTCACCGCACGGTCCGCCGCCACACGGCTTTGGGACCCTGGAGGCTCCGGTCGCCCAAGACACCCATCGGAGGAGGGCCTCGAGCCCCCCAGACCGTGCGGCTACCCTGGGGCGCAGACAAGCCTGCCTCGCTTTTGACCGCCCTCGCTTCCAAGAGATACCAAGCGACGCCAAACTGCGGCCTGCGCTGGTCAGGCCGCTGGACGAGGAGGCGCATGGTGTGACTTGGCTTTGCCTGGAAGCGGAAGCGGGGTGGGCAATTCACGCTGGAAGCGGAAGCGCTTGCCTGGAAGCGGAAGCGGAAGCGGAAGCGCTTTGCGCGGAAGCGGACCCCGAACCCCCACCGACCCACCCGGTGTGGTCACCGCGCCGTCTGGGGGCCCCCGAGCTTGTCGTGCGAGGGCGCCCGCCGCAGAAGCCGGGGCTGGGCCCTCCCAGCGACGCCGAGCGCTCTCTCGCGGGCGAGCCGGCGCTCCGCCAGAGGCCTCGGCCTCGGGGCGCCCAAGGCCGTGCTCTGCAGCTTCCGGGCCGCCGTCTCGGCGCCTCGGAGATGGCGAGCGTCTCGCCGCCGCTCGGGCGTCCGTTCTGCGTGCGTGTCGTCTCGGGGAGGCGCAGGAGTCAGGCACAGGGGGACTCGGGTTGGCCTGACGGGGCCATCGTGAAGAGGACGAGGCCCCCTCTAAAATTTGGCGCGAGCTCCCGCTGCAAGCATCCCACGAAGACCAGACCGTCGAAATCCAGGGCGCGCTCGTCACATAACTTCGGCAAACCCGAGTTCCGGCTTACTCGAGTCTTACGTTTCCCCGATTGATGATCCAGGATGCTCCTCGATGGTTCTCCCCGAGGGAAAATGCACACGTCTGGATGATGCACCCAGTTGCTGCTGTAGCCGTGGCGGCACGGCAGCGATTTCTCCATGTAGGCGGCCATCCAGCGCCAGATGCCGACAGCTGACGCCGTCAGCGAGAGAGACCTTGCCAGGCCAACCACCGGCATCCCAGAAATGCCTGCATGCCTCCATGCTGGCGTGAGTCCCTTCTTTGCACCACTCGGCCCATCCCGCCAAGAAGGCGGGATGTGACGAAGCAGGCCGACGCAGTGAGGAATCCTCACCTCGAACCTCGAGCCTGCCGAAAATGGCATCAAAATTCTGCTAAGACCTTGTGACGCTCCTGAACTGTGGTCAATGCCTTGAAGGAATAACCCGTGAAATTGTAGCCAGCCTCGGCGCGCTCTTGTACGCGTTCGGGCCTAGGCCCTTTGCCATGATGGAACATGTAATGTTCATCCGTCAGAGGCCGCGATCGCCCCCAGGGCTTTCCGAGGACCCAACCGACGAGCACGCGAGAGCAACTGCCACGACCAATGCCAGCAGCGCAACACCAGGCCGAGCTCGTGCAGCGAATCCTTAAGCTCAGTGGTCTTTACCCGGGGCTTCGCGGCTGAGGTGATCTTCGCCAGGGTTGCCAATGCGAAAAGGCAACGTGGACAAGCGGTCCTTCCACGTGAGGCTCCGCGTCCACATCTCGCTCCTGGCCCGTGTGAGGATCTTAGGCGGCGCTGTCCCCTCCACCAAGCCTTGGGCCCACCCGCCACCGTGCCTGACTACCTACCAGACCACCCCCAACCCAACCCGAAGACCCGAATTTCGGGTTGGGGGGGTAAAGGGTTCCACATGTGCTTTTTCGATGTCTCCCGACCGCCCCCCCACTGGAAATCGAGGGGACATCTGAGCCTTCCGGTTGGTTTGGGGTGGTTTCTGTGGGCGGTGAGTGCCGAGCCCCCGATGGTCGGGCACCGAGCCGCGCGGATCCGCTGCTGCCCGCCGAGCTGGCCGCGCGGGCACCCCGCCCTCGGCGGGCCGCGCCCTCAGGGGGCCTCGGACAGCAGGCCGCCGGGCCGTCCGCCAACGCCGCCGCCGGGCGCTGCGCCGCGGCCCGCGAAGCAGCCGTGGGGGCCTCTCGCGCACGCCGGGGTCGTGCAGCTCGTTGCCTTGGGCCACAGCCCGATCACGAGTGTGATGGTGTCGACGATGGGCAGAGTGCGGGGAAGACGAGGAGGCGGATCGGGTCGGGCGAAAGGGGGGGATTGCAAAGGGGGGGCCGAGAATCAGCTCACGCAGCGGATTTTCTCGGCGTCTCCCAGCGCCGGAGGCGGCTACGAATCGAGGAATGGGCCCCTCGGTGGGGCCGAAACCAGCCGCATGCAGCAGATTTCGTGACCCCCCCTTTCCCCATCCCCCCCTTTCGTTCGGGCCGAGCGGAGGAGGGGAGCCCGTAGCCATTTTGGCTCAGGCCGCTGCCTCTCGCGGGGGGGCCTCGCCGCCCAGACGCCGGGGGCGGGGCGGGGCGGGGGGGCCCAAGCGGAGGCGGATGGCCAGGCGCGGCGCCCGCCGGCCTCGCGCAGTGGCCACGCGGCGAGGCACCCGCGGCATCCGGGTCTTGGGCGCCACGAGTGGACTGCACAACTTGGGCCCACGGATTCTTCGATGAACCTTCTCACAAATTGGACCCACGAATTCTTCGACCAACCTTCTCACGCCTTTCCGGCGATCTGCTATCTGGGTTCTCCCCGACAGCTCCTTGGAGAGCCAACAGGGTTTCAGATATGAAGTCGGCGACAAGACCGAGGCGAGTTACGAGCACACCGAATCCGACCAGGACCGCGACAACGTCTTACCGCGTGCCCTACCTCACGATATGAGATCATACCGGGCCGCCACCTGGAAGGTTGCATGTGCGATCTGGAGCCGTATCGTGACCAGCAGGGATACGGCAGGTTCGTGTCGTGCCGACTTCGGCGTTGGTCTCTGGGGATCGTTCAACCTTGAACGATCGGCCGTTTCCGAAACGTCAGATCGTTCAACATCGACCGATTCTGGGTCGCCGGCGGCGTTCAACGTTAAACACTGGCGGCGGGGTCGCCGCCGGTCGACATGACGCGAACCTACCGTACAACTTCAAGAACCAACAAAACAAGGACAAACGGCGCACCTACTGGGACGCCCCCCAGTGCGCTGGCCCCTAGAGTCTTGTAGGTCGGGCATGTCCTCCTACAGGAGGATTTTGGACGAAAAATAAAAATACCTCCCAAATGCCCCCAAATGGTCAAACGTAGTCAAAATTCGTTCCCAAACTTTTTCTTTAAATTGGTACTACTATTTTTGTTGAAGATTCCTCCCGTCGAGGGACGTGCCTGGCTTAACCCTAGAGGCCAGGCGACCCGAAGACGGGGGAGGACTTGGCACAAGCAGAAAGAGTACCACGGCCTGCGGGCCACAAGACGCACCGCTGGCCCACAGGCCAGAGACCGTCGATCTCCGCAAGAGGGCGTCGTCACTCTCGCCAACCTTCGTCGCCACTTCGGAGGTGCCAAGATGGCTGCCCTCAAGGGTGAGATGCAGCAAGAGCTCGAGGCCCTCTGGGCCAACCTTCGTCATCGGTTCCAAGATGGTCAAGGGGCCCCAGTACACACAAATAAATACACACAAATAACAGGATTCCCCATATTTTCATATATTTTCTGGGTTTTTGTCTTCCCCCCCACTTCCCATATTTTCCCATATTTTTGGGGGAATCGAAGATTAATTGCGTCTGTTTTTTTCCCCCTCTTGAGATGGCTGCCCTCCAGGGTGAGCTGCAGCAAAAGCCCGAGGCCCTCTGGGCCTGCCGCGCCGGGACCATTGCCTGCGCCCGCCGCGGTCAACTGGGCCTTCCAGGACAGCCTGCAGAACGAGCGGAGCAGAGCTGCGACCGGAACCAGCCCGCCAGCAGGGCTGCGACCGGAACCAGCGGAGCAGCTTCGGGAGCCAGCGCGGCAGCCCGTGGAGGACCCGCAGGGCCACGGCTGGAACGAGCAGAGCGACCTCGCCAGGACTCGGGCGTAGGAGCGCCTCGCCAGGACTCGAGAGAGTGAGTCCGACGAGTCCAGCAAAACTCTCATGGCACAGGAAGCAAAACGGCACAGACAGAAGCTTGCGGCGCTCCGCGCGGCGGACTTCTCGGACTCGCGCCGGACCTCGCTCCCTGGCGCGCGGAGGCGGCGCCGGAGGCGGCGCCGGGGGGGGGCCCAGCGAGGATCTAAGAGATCCGCGCGGAGCGCCAAAAGTTGATGTTTATGGCGTTTCTTATCCTACGAGCTCTAGGGGCGGGCGGGGGCCAGCGAGAGCCGAGAGACTAAACCAAAGCCCATGGAATCAGACGACGATGCTCATGTTTTTACTCTACAGCTGCACAACGAGGGCCCTGACGGGCCAGGCATATCTTGATATACGAGGCGGGCGATCGCAAACCTCGCCATCGCTCGGACGTCCATTCCTGGGCGATCGCAAACCTCGCCATCGCTCGGACGTCCATTCCCTGTGCTTTGTTCGGTTTCGTGCGTGGTCTTTTCGCCAAATGATCAAGGATTTTCCTCGATGGTCTTCGCCGAAGGAAAAATGCACACGTCCGAGCGATGCCGAGAAACTCGTTCATCACTCGACTCACGAGCTCCAGCAAGACTCCCATGGGGGCCCTGCGGCTGCCGCCCGCCGCGCTGTCCGAGGGCCGGCCCGTGAGCGCCGGCACGCCGAGGAGCCGCTGGGCCGCAGCGGAGGTCTCGATCGAGGGCGAGGGGAGAGGAGGGAGGGAGGGGGGGAGGGAGACGACGAGGAGGAGGAGGAGGAGGAGGAGGAGGAGGAGGAGGAGGAGGAGGAGGAGGAGGAGGAGAAAGGGAACGAGTCCAGCAAGACTCCCATGGGGGCCCGTCCGCGAAGGCACTCCGCGGGGCGGCGCTGGCCTTCACTCCCCGCACCCCGTGGAGCACGCGCGCGGAGGAAAGCGCGCCACACTGAGTTCACTGGGCGGCGCTGGAGGCGCCGCCCAATGTGGCGCGGAGGGTCTGGCGCCGACCCAGTTCGGGATCCACCCAGGGGGGGGATGACCCTCCTCCTCCTCCTCCTGCTCCTCCCTCCTCCTCCTCCTCCTCCTCCTCCTCCTCCCTCCTCCCTCCTCCTCCTCCCTGCTTCAACCGCGACCCCGGCACCAATCCCTCTGTAGGATCGGTGGCCACCAGGGTCAGGCGTGTGAGGGCGCGGTTAACGTCAGCACTGTACACCCCCACGGCCTGCGGGCAAGAGCAGATGCAGGAAACTGTAGGTGGATTCGAGAACACTTGCCGGCAAGGGTGACACTGCATGCTTCAATGCGTGTGGAGTCCTCTGGATCTGGAGTCGGTGGCCCACGGCCTCCGGCATGGTCTCCCGTATGGTGTCCCGGATGGTCTCCCAAAGGGCCTCCCAACTGGTTCCACGCACGGCCTCCCCTAGAAGGCCTTCCGCATGGCCTCTGGCATGGCCTCGCTCATGCACAATAAGAGTATGATGCTTCCTTGGCTCTCAACTTCTACTGTGCGGGGTCCTGTCGCCAGGGTGTGCTATCAGAAGCGCCAGCCTAGAGCTGCGCCCACGAACCGAGCCCCAAACAAGGTTTGAACAGCACACCCTGACAATTAAAGACACGCCAACGTGTTCAAGATTTTTTTTGTCTCTCTCTCTCTCTCTCGCTCTCTGTCTCTCTGTCTCTCTGTGTCTCTCTCTCTCTCTCTCTCTCTCTTTCTCCCTCTCTAAACTAACATGGCAAGGTGGCGTCGGGGAGCACTGGAATTAGTCTACGTATTGAAAATGCAGGGCAGCCCAGGCGACTACCCTGCCTGAAGCTTTGCACGGACATGCAAGAACATGCGAACGTCTGTCGACCATGACTTGGAACCGCGAAGGGAGCACGAGCAAACTAACTACGAACTACAATATAAAATCAGGACACCAACTTCCGTCCGCTGGCTTTTCGGCACGGTACGGAACAACGTCAGCGGGTCGCTGCCGCTCTTCTAATTTTCGCCTATTCGACTTCATGCTGAGTGGGGCGATGGTGCAACGCAGCGTCAATACATGCGCCAGCTGTGTCGGCGTGCACGCGACGCTTATTCTTCAGATGGTGACCCTCCCCGCGGCCATAGCGCCCCCCTCCGAACCATGCCGTGGCACACGAACCCCCTCCGTGCGATGATGCATTCTCCAGAGTCGGAGGCCTGGGACGCCCTGGGGTGGGCGGGGCCTCCTGCACCCCCCGCCCCCTCCACCTGGCCCCCACTTCCCTCCCCTTCCCTCCCTCCCCCTCCCCCTTCTTCCTCCGCTCCCTCCCCCTGCTCCCTCTTCTGCCCCTCTCCTTGATCCCCCTCCCACGCTCCTCCTCCTCCTCCTCCTCCTCCTCCTATTCCTCCTCCTCCTCCTCCTCCTCCTCCATTGGTCCGCACATCTGCTTCTTTTGTGGGCCTTCTTCTCCAGCATGTCGGGCTGCCGGGCGTTGCTGGCTCTGCTGGAGCGGATGACCTTTCCAGTGTCAGGGTCCCGGCGCACGGATTGCAAAGACCAGAAGTGACGGATCTGGCGGTCGGTGTAGCCCTGCGCCCGCCGTTCTCCATGTAGTCCTGCGGTGTGCTTTGGTGGGCGATGCCGTCGTTGTGGTAACCGACCTCTTCGAAGAGAGGCTCGCCTGTGGGCTCATCGGAGCCCTCGTCGTCATGATGCAGGTTCCCCCGCGATTGTGCACTTGCTGGCGAGCCGCTCGGAGCTCGTCCGCGTGGGCGTTGCGTGCCGCGTGAGCGGGCGCGCGAACGCCTACGGGAATGACTCCTATGATGGTGCGGCGGATTGCTTCCATCTTCCCATTCTTCATTGTTTCAGTTCGATCCGCGCGCCTCCATGCCTTGCGGCTCGATGGGCGTTCGTGTTGTGCAAAGGTGTCTAAACTCGCGTTGGATCCGCTGAGAGAGATCGCCAGCGTCACGCGGGTTACCCCGCAAAGGGTCATCATCGCAGGTTACCCCGCATATAGGATTCCCAATCACCTACGGTTGGGGTGGCTGTCGTAATTCCTCTTCTGTATAACCCGTATCGTTTCGTCGTCGGAGTCGCCCGGCTCGTATCCATCAGAATTCGCAGGTGTCCCCGCCATGTCGCAATCCGAGTCGGCGGATGACTGGTGCTCGTCCTCCTCGATGATCTCCATGTAAGCAGGCTGCCCCTGCGATCGGGGTGCCCAGCTAATCTGCGAGATTCATCTCGTCATGGCCGAAGAACGCTTCCTCGTGGATCTCCTCGGCGTTCCCATCGAAGGACGAGCTGGCGTTCATGTATCTCGCAGACATGAAGTGGGCAGCAGCAGTGGGGGTGTCGCCAGAATCGGCTAAAGGCGTCAAAGTCAGCATATTGAATGTCCGAATCGGTCTGAGCCAAATGTATCGACGGACCCCCCCTGCCTCTCCCGTCGCCCCAGGGGCACTCGCGACGAAAATGCTGGGCGCAATGGCAAAAAGCGCGTTCCATGGTTTTCCCGTTGGCATCCTTCGGGTTACCCCGACGTCCCTTACCCTTTCCTGTCTACGGCCTCTACCCTTACCCAAACGTATTTTCTCATACTGTGGTTCTGCAAAGCAAGCCAGGAATTTTGGAATGCCTCTGCCATGCAGCCGTCGTCTTGCACCCTTGCCTCTACCTTTGCCCTTTGACCTAAGCGCGCGTCGGGCCGCGCGTCGTGCCCTTCGAGCCGGTTTCTTCTTGAAACGTCTCCATCGGCGCTAATGTTTCTGATGGCCCAAGAATATCCATTGTGCTTGTTGTTCTTCGGTGAGGTGTGCAGGCAGTTCAGAGAAGTCTAGGTTTCCAGTGCCTTCGTCTGACGAAGTGTCGGCGTCTGTGCCTGAGTTGAAAGCAGACCCTGCGGGTTGCCGCGCCGAGCCCACTAAGGTAGTGGCTTGGGTGGGGCCGCCGTTGCCGACGGTCCCCGGTATTGGGCCCAGGGGTCGTGCGACCCCGAGGGCCGGCCACCGTGTTGGCTTAATAAGTTGGTGGACTCGTTCGATTGTGGATCGTTGTTCCAAATTGCGATGGCAGGTTGCCCCGCATGAGTGTCACCGTGGAAGGCATCGGCGCGGTGGCCGCGATCGAAAACGCCGCCAATGTTGCCAGCGGTTCGTTCAGCAATGGGGGCGTGAGCCCTCGTGCGCCCCCGTAAAGAATCACATTGCTGCTGTGCCCTTGGCATTTGGTGGTTACGTGGTTGTAATAGCTGTTGTGCACGCGAGGTGCCGACACCTAGGGCCCTGAACAGTATGACTGTCAGGACTTGGAAATATGGGATGTTGAGCCCCGCAGTGTCATCTTCGAAACGTGCGATCTCGAAACGCGCCAGCGTCTGGTCGATCCGCTCTCCCGCATGGACGCGAAAATCGATGGGAGCCGTCCCCGAGTTCAATCGTCTTACATCTTCAAGATTCTCGAATGTAGTGCTGAGGAGGAACATAATATAGGTTACCCCATCGTTGCGGCGTCCACCAATGTTCACTCCAAAGCTAATCGCTGCTGGGGGGACTCTCGTAACGATGGTCCTTGCGAGACCTCCATGGCCACGCTGTAAGGCAGCGGCCTGTTGGGAGGGAGTCATGGTGCCTGTGGCCACGTTAATCCAGGCATGTGCTCGCGAGCGAATTCGCGGAAAGGTACGTTGCCAGCAGGGTCCCAGTGGGGGCCGGTGGTGCGCGTGTCGTCCGCGTCGCGTTGCATGTGTCCAACAGCACATCCGATGGCGACCCAGGGGATGCCAAAGATAATGATGCCAATCCAGTGACCTCGTAGGTCGGTGTCGGTTGTGGGTGGCTGCTGCTTGTTAGGTGACGTTGCCCTCAGTTTGCGAGGGGGTGCAGGCGGCGCGATGTCATAACGCCTGTTACCATGCATCGTATCTTCGAAGATATTGCCAATTGGCGTTGGTGGGAAGCGGGGCCCGCTGTTTTGATCCAGGTTTAGGTCGGGCATGTCCTCCTACAGGCGGATGTTGGAAGAAAACTGAAGCACAGTCCAACAAGACGCATACATAGTAGAAAAACGTCCCCACACTATTTCTGGATTACTTTGGAACATTCCTCCTGTAGAGGGACATTTCCGATTTAAATCCAGGTGGGCGCTTTCTCGAGAGGGGCCTGGCCGTCTTGCGCACGGGTCGCCGCGCCGCCCCACCCCCCTCCTCAGGAGGTCGCGGTCTCTGCGGATCCTGTCCGCCTGCAGGCGGTGCCTGCAGGGCGCCCTAATTATGAGCTCCAGGGCTGCATGCAGCTCCGCCCAAACCTGACCAAATCCTAAACGTAAGCCCTCTTCCTGCACATCGTGCGGCACGATGGTCCGCGAGAGCCCGTCGGCTGCACCCGCTTGCTGGTCCGAGGAGGTGGGCCCGTGGCCGCCGAGAATGGCCGTGTGCCAGACCCGCGCGCCCGGTTCGCGTGCATCTTCCCCTGTCTCCCTCTCCCACCCCTTGGCAGATTAGGGTAAAGATCAACCAACCAATCGATCAACGAATGACTGACAAGGTTACTGTCACCCCCCAAAGGAAGCCTCAAAGCAGGCGGCAGTTCTGTCGTTCTTCCTCCTCCTCCTCTTTCTCTTTTCCTCCTCCTTCCCTTCCCCCAGCTTCCCCAGAACGATGACCAGAACCAAACCTGAACTCGGAAACGCCAGTGTCGATCTTGGTCATCGTCCATCTTGGTCACCGTCGACTCGTAGATCATCCTCGCGGAATTGGCGACAGCCAGCATGGACCACGACGACGTTCGGCGTCGACAAGGACCCGTATCTTAGCCGCCGTCAGTGTGTTTCTTCCCCTGACTTTGGGCCACCTAGCTTCGGGCCACAACTCGGGTCCCCGGCAGGCCACTCGGGACGATCTGGGTAGCAGCGGAAGGCTCTCGGCGTGGCGCCACCGCTGGAATGCACCCCGAGTTTGGGAAACCGCCGAGGCTGGC